CATTGAGTAACGTAACGGAATACGTTACAGAATACATTTTGGGGCATGTATTCTGTATTCTGTAATGGAATACATTTTAAAAGTAACCTTCCCAACACTGCTCACAGGTGTATTGTTATAAGATTGACCCAAGGAAATATGAAGCAGACCACAGAGACGGGCCTTTTTGTTAAGCATTATTTTTCAGAGCCAGTTTACACAACGTTGGGGTCACCCAGTAAAATTCAGACCTTGTAGCTTATTTTTAAAACAAATAAATATTGGGAATATGAGCTCTGTATGTCTGTTCGAACATTAGCCACCATCGCTAACAGTCATTTGTGCCATTTATTCCCATTGTGCTGCGTAACTACAGCCAGAGCAGGCAGCTGCACACATGGGAGCACTAATAATACCTGTCCTCTCATTCACAACATATTATTGCGAGTTCCTCAGTCTCTGACCGTAAATCAGGACTCGCATGTAACGGGGAATAAAGAAAACATTTTACTGTCTTCTTCAGTAGCACCGGGTGTCTGCCTCTGAGTGCGCATGGAGACGCAAGCATATGACAAACATATTGGAAACTGGATGAAGGAGAATCACAGATGTATAATTGTGTGGAAGATATGTTGTTGCTCAGCCATGCGGATCCATTTATAACTCAAGCATGTATAATTATGAGACACGCTTGTGCACACAGACTCACAAAATAAATAAGATTTTCTGTCCCTATTTAGAGTAATCCACTGCTTCTCCCTCTGGTTATATCTCATGGTGCAAAACATAAACCTCTTTCATTTTCTCCACTTATCCTTGATCCTTTATTTCTCCCCGTCCCCCTTCCCCCCCACTGCAGCCCTCTGCAGTTTCTCCCCTCTCTGCCCCATAATGGATTTTTCTTGTGACGTTAGAAAGAAGTATTTGCTGCTGGAGTGTATTGATTGGTTTAATGGTAGGGAGCTGAGAGCAAAGAGAGAGGAGAAAGAGGGGGGACTGGAGACAGGAGACTGCAGAGAGTCCATTAGCTTAATAAGAAGAGCATCCTTTATGCACAGATATACACACACATGCACGTGTGCATGTACACACACACACTCATAAATCTGACTTCTCTTGTCCCTTGATATGACAGGTATCAGATAACAGCTGTCATGCTGCACTGTGTACAAAAAAAAGTGTGTACTGCATTTTTTGTGGGGGGTTTTTGCCTTTCATGTCAATTCTTGTTCAGTTTTGCTCCATGAGTGCTGATTATCATCTGACAGCCTAATGGATTTTGTCTCAGTATATACACGAGTCGCTGTGCAGATTATGAGTGTTTTTTGTAGAAGATCAAGGTTGGGTTTACTCATAGCATTGAAATCATTAAGCTCATTTTCATGACTCATAAACTTGAGTCATATAAATTCTCTCCGTGGCAAACAGGAACTGTTTCATCTTCCAAGTGTGCGAATCGAATAAATGCAAGAGTTTAAAAAAAACAGAAAGAAAGAAATGTGAACGTGCAATGAAGCATGTTTGATCACCACACTGTTCTACTACAGGCTACTGACCTCTGATTTACACTGGTGACTTTATTAATAAAGGTGGCTCTGGGTTTTTGAATGTCTGTACATGCATGTATATTTTAAATTTAATAGCAAGTGCAACATTTTACCGGGTTGACAAGGACGTTATAAACTGTTCACTTGCACTTGTACCCGTTCTGATGGATATGTGGCGTTTTGTGTGTTCTGCCAGGCGGAGTGGAGAGATGAGGTGAGACATCATTTTGAGAAGATTAAGTCCGAGGGCACATGTCTTCACCGGCTGGACGAGGAGCTGATAAAACGGCGCAGGGAAGAGCTGAGGTAAGATATACCTCAGTAAGATTGATATTATCGTCTGTATTAGTTTATATTTGGCAGTGTAGCTCTGGGCTTCAACCTCACCGCTTTTGCGTGTAAACACATGGAAAGCTGGAGGCAGACAGAGCCGTAGAAACTGAACAGAGTGAACTTTACTGACTGCAGATATGCCTTTAATTCAGAAACAACAAGAAAAGCAAGAGCTGGGGTGTTTCGACTTTCATCCGTAAATAAAGCCGCGGCCGGCTGAGTTGGTTG